AAGAAGATTTTTGAGTTTGGAAATGACGTTACATTTATTGGGTGTGGGTGGGTGTATTGGGTATGGGTGGGTGTATTGCAATTTTCGTGTTTTTTTGGTTTTAGGATTTTTTTTTTTAAAACGGTTTTAGGGCTTTTTTTAATCAGGTGTGTAATACCCCGTATTTTTAATGTATTTTATAAATTATTTATTTAATTATAAAATATATTTTGGGTCAAACTATTTTAATTATTGAATTATAAATAAAGCAAGTATTTATATTTGGGACAATAAATATTCAATCCAAACGTAGCCCATCTTTATTGAACCCAATCATCTTATTTTTTACTTTTGGGCCACCTACTTCATCACATTTAAGTCCATTATTTTTATGAAGCCCAAACCTACCCTAACCTACTCTACACTATAAATACTCTACTTATCCCCAAAATTTTACCACCCAAAAAGGTCAAATGGTCAAGGTGAGCTATTTTCTTTTTATTTTTATTGTTTCTTTCTTCTTTTCCTTTTTCCTTTTCTTATTCTTTCTTTTTATTCTTGCATTTACGTGGGTTTTGGGTGACATAAACCCACCCAAATTTCAACACCGGCTGCCACTGCCCACCGCCGGCTGCCACCACCTGCCACGCCGCCGCCGGCTGGCCGGCCACCACCCACGGTGGTTCTTCCCTTCTCTCTCCTCTTTTATTTTGTTTTAATAATTATTCCTATAATATATACTTTGGGGTTTTGATTTAAATTATTTAAACATGATTAGTATGTTCTACAATTGTGTTTTGATGATTAAAGGTTGTAAATTTTAGATTATAAAGTGTTTAATTTTCAGATTTTATGAAGTATTAAAAGTTAGGGTTTTAATTATTAAAGTGTTGATTTTTAGGGTTCTAACTTACAGTTGATTTGGGGGTTTTATATACCCATTGATTGTAAGTGGTAATAAAGCTTAAAGATTGTATCTTTATGAAGTTTTAATGAAATTTTAATGGGTTTTTGTTAATAGAATAATGCTGGAATTTTTATTTACATACTACTTTTGTGTATTAATTAAAAGGAGTTGATTACCCATAAGTAGAGAATATTTTAAGTGGTTTTAATATAATTTTCAGATTTATTTAAGGGGTTTAAGCCTTAAAAAGTATGCTGGAATTTTTATATGAACACGCAAATTCATGTTTTAATAATTAGATTTTCGTTCGTTAATATTAATCTCGTTTTAATCCCGATCAGGTTCTAAACTCCTCCGATTTTGATAAAAAAAGTAGTGTTTTTCGAGTGGAAACAACGTTTAAAGAAAGAATCACTACCTTTGATAGTGAGCACTACCCTATCGTGGCCAAATTCAGCCTCTAAATACGATTTTCGAGCAGTTTTTGATATTTTAACGAAGTTTTTTTTATACTTTAAATTTTATCTTTGAGTTTAAAAGGGGTAAGAGATAATTTAATGTTCCTATGGATAATTTAAGTATAAAGATGTATTTTGATGAAGTTTTAAAGGATTTTTGATTAGTTTAAAATGTTGGAATTTTATTTAAAGTAGTATAATCGTGATTTTTAATAAAAAGGTGTGATTATCCATTAAAAAGGAGTTTAATTAGGGGTTTTTAAATAATTTTCAGATTATTATAAGTTATTTAAATTGAGTTTAAGTTGCTGGAAATTGTGTATACAAGGGTAATTAATATAGTATTATTGTCCCTTTATGTAGGAGACTTGGTTCGAGAATTGTTGTAGAGTACTCGGTTATTTTAAGAGCTTATTTGAGGTACGTACGCTTACTTAGCATAATTTGGTGATGTAGAATCATGCTAGGTTTGTTTGTAATTGATTATAAGTAGAATCATGCTAAGGTTTATGTATGGAATTGTGAGTTTATGGTGTTTGTGATTTAATGGTGAAGCATGAATTATTTGTGATGGTTTATGGATTGGAAAATTGTATTTTTGGCATGTTGTGTTTGAACCACATTTTTATTTATGGCATGTTAGAAGGCATGATTAATTAAACTACATGTTTAATTATGTTTGGAATATTGAAAAGGAATTTTATTATGATTCAAATAATTTTTATCGATGCTTTAAGCATGAGGAAGGAGCTATATAAGTGTCTGGGTACACAAGGAATAAATTGTATGTTGGTGCCTTTGTGCACTTAAGGTGTTTTTAACACCGAGGGATAGGATTTTTGGCGCATTATGCGTTTAAGGTGTCTTTGACACTAAGGTAGAATTAAAAAGGGTTTAACATTAAATATTATGTGGTCACTAAATATTCAAGAATTAAATTGGTATGTTTGAGTGATTGAATTATTATTGATGATTGAATTGTTATGCTTTGAGGGTTATCACCAAGTCTAATAATATGTAATAACGTAAAGTGAAAGAGATTACGTACCAAAACTCTTGGAACGTATATACCTTGAGTATGAACATATGGGGGGAGTTATGTGACTTTATATTTGAACATAACTTCTAACGGAGTACAGGACGCTGTATATTCCTTTTTATTATTATTATGCGCTGGAATTCCGCCACCTATGTGTGGCACAGGTTTGTTGCTGGCACGGTTAGCTCCCGTGTCAGTTAACCCCAATTTATTGGGAGAGGTATAGTTAGAAACTTGTTCGATGCGTAATCAATGCAAAATGAATTAATTAGTGTCTAGTCATTGTGTCTTGGTCATTGGTGTGTATGCTTGTGAACAGGTGCAATGAGGTAAGTGTGTGTTGATAGGTGAAAGCATGTTAGTGTGGCTAATTTACGCTTATGTACTCAGCTTTGCTGATTGTGTGTGTTTGTGTATTTGGCCATGTCTTTATCTTGGCCCTATGATGACCCATTTTTAATGGAGAGTAGTGGAGACAAGTAGAGATAAGCTTTTCAGGTATTGAGGCATATTCATGATGGGGCACGAGTGAAGAGCGAATCATGCTAGTTTATATTAGTTACAATGTGTTTCTGCTTTAATTATTTATGCTAATATTTATATGTGGAGCTAATATCAAGTTTGGATTTGGTTTGGTTTTTAATAAGGGCCTTTAATGGTTCCAAGTTGTAGGTTGATTTTCATTTTACTTCGCTCATTTTGGTTTTAACTTTACTTTCGTTTGGTTAGCTTTTCAAGTTGGTTCGTTTTGGAAAGGTTTTTAAAGTTAGTCTTCCGCTGTGTATCTTTGATATATGCCTTAACCGTTTTCACGGTGGCGGTAATGTCTTAGATATTCCTATTTAAAGTTTTATACAGGGCAAAACATGTATTTTAAAATAAAGGAATTTCTAGGGTGTTACAAGGTGTGTGTAATTAGGCTTTTGGGCTACGTTGTTACACCTATTTAAGGTGCACAAGGGTGTACCTTAGACTAATTGAAGTGTTGTAATAGCTTGAGAATCTTATTAGAGACTTAAAGTTAGGGTTAATTGATATTGGAATTTAATTTTGCTTCTTTTAATCATCGTGTTTGGTAAAATTAGGTAAGTGGTAGCACATATGGTTCAAAACAATATTATATGTTCTTTGGATAGATTTTCTATAATCACTTTAAAAGTTTTAACATCGGGTCCCAAAACTTTCATAATGGCCAAGGTTCTATTTCGTGTATTGTTTTGGACTTTTTTTTTTATTATTTTGAACCCATATAGGAAACAAATTGGGTGCTTTTCATGGACCCCATGACACCCCGAGAAGTCCAGAGTCTATTTGAGTGGTTGTTACCATCCAATTATTATTTATATAGTCAATTTGATTGTGTATGTACACATCTCCCTTAATAATTATTAACTCTTGGGAACCTCTTGCCTTTAAGTGACCAACAAGCGGTCATAAATAGCATACCAAACCACATTATATGACCTTCGAGTGAATTTCTTACCATCTCGAGAGTTTTGGATACTGGGTCTCGATAACTCTAAAATTGGCCTTAAAGCGTGTATTATAACCTTTAAATTAAATTTAAACAATTTATTTACTTTTCCAGAACCCTATAAGGAGACAAGCTTAGGTTCTTTTCATGGACCTCATAAGACTCCAAGAGGCCATTTAGGTGGTTGGAACAGTGTACTTTACCTTTAAATTGTGAATTTGACGACTCAAGGTCACCACGAGCCATTATATATGTGACCGACTACTACCCATACACGATTTCAACAATATTATATAACTCCGGTATGAATCCCCAACAATCCCGAGATTTTTTGACACAGTATCCCAAAACTAAAATTAGTCTAATTTGCATTATAGCCTTCAAATTTAGCTTTCGGAGAATACTATTAGACCTATCAAGGTTTTTCATCAAGGTGCTTCCGAGGGTTCCCAAACACCCAAAGAACATGAGAGGCCTACTTGATGCTAGAACAATCTCATTCATGCTTTGGTCCATCCTTAGCTATCTCGTCTTAAGATGCCTTGGTTTGGCCCTGAACTATTGGCAACGTAAAGAGTAAATGTTAATTTACCCCTTAAAAGCAAGTACTATATATGATAATGATTATGAACATATACTTCATTTTAATTAATTGCAAGTTTGCAATATAGAGAGTGATGGAAGAAGGATACTTTTGTCATTGAATATTCACAAAGTATATATAATAGTACAAGAGTTAACTAAACGGTTTGGAGTAAGGACGATTTTGTTGCATTGGTGGTTGAGGAGGAGGTGTGGCAGTAGGGAATTGTTGTTTAAACAAGGAGCAATGGGAAACAACATGCCCTTGTTCTCGACACCACTGACATTTGCCGAGAAAGGGACGAGGTTGTTTGTTATAAGTGGTAGGTATAGGGAGGATACCTGATGCATTGTTGCGGCTATAGTTGCGATTCTGGTTCCTTGTGGTAGTAGCAAAGGCGGTGGCAGGGAGGGATGTGTCTGCACGAGCTTGTTGAATTGCTAGCTCCTTGTTGATTAGCTTTTCATGTAGCTCTTCAAAGGAGATGGGGGTGTCCCTAGCATTCACTGATTCAATGACAGAGGTGTATGAGTCATCTAAACCAAGGAGTACTCGATCAATTATATCTTCATGATATGCTCCATCTTCTTTCCAAGGGCAGCAAGTTGATCTACACAAGCCTTGACAGATTGCATGAACTCGGTGATGGTTCGGTTGCCTTTAGTGATGCGGTTGAACTGATCTTTGAGTTGCTTAATGTGACCACGGCTAGGTGTGGCGTATGTCTTGGCAAGAATGTCCCAAAGTTGCTTAGAGCTTCGGGCTTCGGAGACAAGAGGGTATTGGTTTTGTGAGAGGGTACCAATTAAAGCACCTATTAGAAGCTTATCCTGACGAGTCCAAAAGGAAAAGTCGGGATTGAGTTTTTCCACACCATCAGTGGTGATAGTAGGAGGAGGGCAAGGGAGAGTGCCGTCAACATACTGGTAGAGATCATGACCAACTAGAATGGCCTCAATTTGCATTTTCCATGAAAGATAGTTTGTAGCGGTAAGCCTGTTGGCATTGTTAATGTTGAGAAAGGTGAATGGTTTTGTGGGATCATTGCCATTGGGAATTTGATAGGAGGTGTTGGGGTTTGACAGAGCCATTGAAGTATTGAGTTTTAATTTGGATCAAGCGACTGATACCATATAGAGAATGATGGAAGAAGGATACTTTTGTCATTGAATATTCACAAAGTATATATATATAGTAGTACAAGAGTTAACTAAATACGGTAATACAAGATTACAACCTCTTGAATCAAGGAGGATAATATCAAAGGAATAATTACATTTACAGCTATGATAATGGAATTGAATTCCTTAAATCAAGGCATAGCTACAGCTCATGATTATGCCTCTAATATTGTGTTTGACTTTAGATTGTCAATCACAATCCTTTACATGCAACATATGTACACTTTTTCACCTTAACTCCTATGAGTCTAAGACAAATTTTGATATGAATAGTTTTAGTTATACATAGCTAAAATATATTCTAACAAAATTTCATACGATGATATCAAATTAAAGGATAGTAAAACCAAATTGTGGCCCAAACCTTTAGATGATTTTACAAGATAGTAAAATTTGGAACGGTGTCGTTTAATGAATACATGTATTTATTGCTTTTATTTGAAACAAAAAATCCAAAGGAGGGAAACAAACGGCTTATCTCCTTGTCCTTCTCAGTTTCAACAAACATGGAGGACTCCCTCCCAACCATTTCCAACCCACAAACTCATGAGCAACAACCTCTAACTTCACCGTTAGCCGAGAAAGAAATCGGAAACCATGGACTTACCAAGAGGATTCTACGTCATGGGAACTCTTGGCAAACACCATTTCCCGGTGATGAAGTTGAAGGTAATCCTCAATAATCTATCTTAGCTTGTAATTTTTATTATTATTGGTTACATAAAGTTTTGTCTGTTTCTTTACTGTACGATTCTTTATGACTATTCATGTTAGCTTACCCAAATCATTACGTAGAGTTTTGATTATTTCACCTTGAAGTTGATTTTCTAATGTAATACACTTATATTATGCACTTTACACTAACTAGCCATGTTATATTACATTTATTGTGTTATTTTGTTCTTACATGTAGAGTTCATTATTTATTCTTCATCAACTTCCAAAATTAATCACATAATAAGGTAAATGAAAACTAGAAATATATTTATCGACTTTAATGTGATTATATGTTTGTTAGTTAGTCATCACCCCAATTTTATGTTATTCGTAGATGTCTAGGATGAAGAAAAAAAATGTATTGTCGTCATAATTAATTCTTTGTAAGAAAAAGTAGTTTACGGTTAGATATCTATATACATATATGTGTATTTAGCTAAATTATATGAATGAAGTGATTTTACCATTATTAATTGTCTTTTTGTAAAATCATTTTATATTCTTAACTTAAGAGAGCGATAAGTTATACTTCCTCTTTTTTTTTCATAGTTGTACCACTTTACGGTTACATATATATATATATATATATATATATATATATATATATATATATATGTATATATGTAATTAGCTAAATTATATTAATATATATATATATATATATATATATATATGTAATTAGCTAAATTATATTAATGAAGTGATTTTACCATTACTAATGGTCTTTTTGTAAAATCATTTCATATTCTTAACTTAAGAGAGCAATAAGTTATACTTCCTCTTTTTTTTTCATAGTTGTACCACTTCTCTGATCTTTTCACGTTTGTTGATACTTGATTTTAATCTTTAATTATCGATGCGTAAAAATTACAAACATTTGATATTAAAACAGTATAAATCGAGACAAATATAACAAGATTCCACATGAGTATATTTCTGCATTAGCCATAAATCATCAAAACTAGTCAAAGTGAAACAAAAGAATACTGTAAAAATCAAACTGCTAAATAAAAAAGGAAGTAATTACATATGTATGTTATTACATTGTTAAGTGTGTTAAACAGTTCATTACAGTGGGCACGTTGAGGATGGTTCATTGGGATCAAGTCATGAAAACGGAACTCCTTTCAAGTTCAAATTGGGACAAGGTTAGAACTATAATTTAGTTTTCGAATGTAAAATCATTCATTTTGCTCATCAAATGACAAGATTTATAGAAGAATATAAATAATACAGGTGAAGTTATAAAGGGTTTGGATGAAGGGGTTGTCACAATGAAGAAAGGGGAGAAGGCCGTTTTCAAGGTACCGCCTCATTTAGCCTATGGAGAGGCCGGTTTTTCGCCCCTCATTCCACCTCATTCAACCGTCATCTTTGATGTTGAGATGATATCTTGGAGCACCATTAGGGATATTACAGGAGATGGAGGTGTACTAAAGAAGATCATAACCGAAGGTGATGGTTGGGCGACTCCTAAAGATGGCGACGAGGTTTCAGGTGATCATACATACGCGATAGGATTGTTTTTTCTGCACAAGTTTTGTGAACGTGTCTACAATAAATAGTTAGATGTGTTCAAAATAATAGGTCACTTTCTAAACTAAGTCAAAGTTTATTTGACGTGTGCCTAAAAAATGTTCTTGTTAAAATTACATTGATTTATTACTCAAATTAAGTTGTTCTTTCCTTGTATTGCTAGTCAAGTATGAAGCAAAGCTTGAAAATGGCACGGTACATTCTACCTCCGAGAATGCGCAACTTCATGTAGGCGATGGTAAGTTCGTTCAATCAAACACATACAGTTCACTCGAAATTTCTCTGAATCATATTGTCAGTAGGAGAAATTCCCTGTTTCTCATGGGAACATTTTCGTGAATAAATCAATAACTTTTTCATTATTGTGGGCTCCACAGTTGAATAAAGTTGTTGATTTATTTACGAAAATGTCATGTGAGAAACAAAATTTGTTTCTCACCATGAGAAACTGGGGCACCCTCTTGTCAATAGACGTCGTTAATTACCAGGATTATGTATGTTCACAGGAAAGCTATGTCCTGCCATCCATAAAGCAGTGAAAACAATGAGAAGGAACGAAAAAGCAGAGCTCTCTGTTAGGTTCTCTTGTAAGTTATCTTCAAACAATATATTTTCTTAAGGTAATGTAATTATGTAATGCTTAATTCTTTGACAAGATCATACACCAACTATAAGATAGATTTACAGATGGATTTGAAGTAGAATTTGGACGCGAAGAAGCCCGAAGTTCCAACATAACTATCCTTCTTGAGCTGTTATCTTGGAGAAGTGTTGTGGATGTCCTAGGTGACAAAAAGATCCTAAAGAAGGTTATTTCTGCTGGTGAAGGTTTTGTGTATCCGAATGAGGGTTCTTTAGTAAAAGGTGCTGAACTATTCGAGCATTTTTCATCTTTGATTACTATGATTAGGATTTACATTCTGAATTCTTAAGCATAATTGGCAATTTCATAGTGATATATGTTGGCAAACGAGAAGATGGAGTAATTTTCGAGCAAAAGGGGTCTAACGATGAGCCATTCGAGTATATGTGCTTAGAAGGTACATTATAAATACGTGTATACATCAAAACATGTGTTCAAAATCATCAAAATATATGTTCAAAATCTTATGCTTGTCATATTTTGTAACAGATCAAGTAGAGGAGAGCTTAGACAAAGCAATAATGACAATGAAGAAGGGAGAAAAGTCCCAAGTGTTCGTGTTTTCTGATCATGTGCAAGAAAGTCCTGAAGCATCAGATACCGTTTTTGCTAATCCAAAAGTTATATATGAGGTTGAGCTGCTTGATTTCACTAAGGTAAAAACGCGCTCTTGCAACTTTTAAGTCCCAGGTAACTTCAAGTAGTGGGGTGACCTCTGTTACTCGGACTCTTCATTTGACCACAAGGATCCATGACACTCGAATATCTTAGGGATTCGATGGGTAAGATCACTAATGTGATCTCACATTTATCTTCAAAATAGCCGAGTCTACCACATTCTCCTGTCTAGCACAAACAAGGAAAAAAAAATCTGAAAATTTATCTACACCACTTCAAATTAAAATGAAATGTCCAAATAAAATGCATTATACCATTGTTTAAGGCAAGGAAGTTCTGCAGGATAAACCCGTCTGGAAGATGGACAAGCAGGAGAAGATCGAAGCGTGTGAGAAGAAGAAGCAGGAAGGAAATGAATTGTTCAAAGCAGGGAAGTTCTGGCTTGCTTCCAAGAAATATGAAAAGGCAAGAAATCTGACTTAACTAGTGACTAATACAAGTATTAATTAATTAACAATAGTTTTCTGATAGGAAATTTACTCATAATCTGGTGTACACTTTGTATATGCAGGCTGTAAAATGTATTGAATTCAACCACAATTTCTCAGATGAGGAAAAGCAACAAACAAAGGCGCTACTATCATCTTGCAATCTAAACAATGCAGCCTGTAAACTTAAATTGGAGGACTATGTTGGAGCTGCAACACTATGCACTAAGGTCTGTTCTAACCCTTTTTTTACTAATCAATCTTGTGTGGAGCTGATCATGGCTCGGATCACACCCAAAAAACTCGGCCTAAACCCGGTAAAATCAAGCCATGTCACACTGGTGTAAGGCTAAAACTAGTCTTACAACATCAAAAGTATGTATTTGGGCTAGGAATTGGCAGCCTAAATGCCCATATTTTGCTCCAGTTTTATGTCAAAACAAACCCCGGGAAATAAAGTTATATACAAAGTACAATATTTTAACAAACCACATATATTCTTTAACTTTAGTATTACTTTTGCATAAAAGGTAAAGAAAGTGACAGTATAAGACCCTTTTTACGAGGAAAACTCTTAGCGTATCAACAACAAGAATAATGCGATGTGATACAAGTTGTTTCCCGCTTCCCTACTCTTAGTCTTATATATCCTATACACCTATTTTAAGGCGAATTTCATTAACAGAAATCATTCAACTTTCCACAACTTATACTCGTTTTAGACACATAGGTTTGACATATTTAGATTAATGCTAATTGAAGTAATTCTAACTACTAAACATTTGGATATAATTTAATGTGGTAGGTTTTGGAGATTGATCAAGTTAACACAAAGGCCTTATTTAGAAGAGCTCAAGCATATTTGCAAACTTCTGATTTAGACAAAGCTGAAGCTGATAGCAGAAGAG